TCTACTGAACCAAAAAATGTAAATAAGTTCTCTGATTCCATTTAAATTTTTTAACTGAGTTGTCTATTGAAGGCTGATGCTATAATAAAAGTTTGGAATTTTCGCTATTTAAGGAAAAAGGAAGTAACGACTTTTATAAACCTTTGATTCTACAGTTAACTCATCATTTAGGAAATGAAATTTTGATCTTTATTGGTTTGTTTTTACTTTCTTGCATGAAGTTAAAGGAACAATTCTAATCACGAAATATTTCGGGTATCTTTTTTTTTCAAAGGAAATATTCATTTTGACGGTTCCAGAACCCATTTGAACGCTTTTTTTTTTTTTTTTAAGCGTCACGTTTGTACGTACGAACAAAGTAAATGATAGTTTTTCCAAAAATGGATTGTAAAATGTGTTGTAATTTGTAATGGATTCAGATGAGAATTTTTTTCGCGACGTTTGTACGTACGTACCTATGTATATCGCATAACTCAAAAATGAGTAGCCGTAGAACGTTGAAAATTTGTATACGGAACTGCTATAACATATTATATAACTATAGTTATTCATCTCCCTTTTTTTAGTTCAATCGATCTTATTAACAGGGTTGATATGTATATAGTTATATATATGTGGTAATAAAAACAAACCCAGAAGTAGTGTCCAGCAGGAATTTTGATGGCGTAGAAGTGCTGATCCATAATGAATACGAAACAGATTAAATCTTCATTTTTTATTTCAGCAAACATGTTGCCACATTAAATGTGCCTGTTCCAAAAAGCTTACATATTTGATAGATTTGTAGTTAGTAAAAAAAAAAAAAAAAAAAAGAGCAGATAAGACTGTATTCCAGCTAGACCAAAGCATAGAAAGCAAATGCGTTACGTTCAGGGTGAAATCTTAAATCAGACCGAGTTAGTTTTGGTTCTCAATGCATTTTGATTGGATAGTTAATATTGATGTAAAATTACTATCGGCTGTCTGAATTTTAGTTCTATTTACATCATCAGAATTACGTAAGAATCATAGAACATGGATTAATCTAAAAATGACGCAGTGCAGAGAGAGAGAGGTTACTATTTTTAGAAATTGAGAAGTGAAATTTCCCATTGCTAATTTAATCTTTTACATTTTCTTACACATATAACTGTAACTCGGCCTCATGAGCTCTGCTTTTTTATTCTTGTATGTTGGTAAATTGTGCATATTTTTATTTAAAATTAATGGAGTTAAGTTGTTCTTATGGTCCGGTTAAGGTTTTTATGCTTTTAGTTAATCTGTATGCAATAGCTGTCGAATTATTAACAATCTAAAAGTGTAAGTAGAGCTAAGTCTAACCAGGCGAAATTTGTTTACATATGAAACTTTTAGTAGTACAGTGAATTAAATTAGTTGGTGCAGCAAATTCAGGATCTTTCTTCCCAGCAATGCCGAAAGTGATTTAAATTTTGATGTACTGAAAATTTTGTCTTTATGCCCATTGGCCGAATGGCCATCATAATTTTTGCGTAGAAACTCTATTTACAAAAATTTATTTTTTAATTGCTTTTACTGGAATCGGTGCTTTAGTTTTTTCTTTTTTTACTATTTTAATGAAGATGTTTTGAGTATTTGAGTAGTGAGAATTGAACTGATTGCCTGAGAAATATATCTCTAATGAAAATCGAGGAAAAGTATTAAATGTACTGCAAGAAAAATGTGTATAATTTTAATAGACCGTAAAAGGAAGTCAAGTCTGTTGTTCATAAAATATTCGAGTTATAAATGGTTTTCACGTTTTGTCCTTCAAAGGAAGATTCCGCATTCATTAGGTCTTTTTCGCAAACTATACAATATTCTTTATAGTAGAAGTTACTGAATCTAGGTTGAAAACCGTACACATATCTAGGGGGAAAATGACTGTGTTCTCAGCGGACATTAGAAAAGATGAAAGTTGATGAAATTATCTTCGCTTTGCCTTTTTACCAGAAAAGCAAAGTTCTCATATATTCCTTGATTAAACTCTATGCTCTCTGTTTCTATGCAGATAGGATGGCATTTAATTTTGAAATGACTATTTATTTACATTTAAATTTCGTACAGAAATATCCCATGATAAACAATGCCTTTTGTTATAAGGCTATAAAGGCTATTAATCTGGAAACATATTTTGCGTTGTTTCACTTTTCATTCGAGTTTGTTACCATTCAGGACAAAGTAAGATATTATTCTTTCATATTTAATTTACCTGTAATTAATTAACAAGCTAAACTATTTAAAAGGCAATAGACGCAGTTCTTTAGAATATTATTTTTTTACTTTTTAATCGGATTGATTTAAATAAAAATGCATATAATTCATGATTCATCTAATTGCAAACAATCACTATTTTTATAGAATTACGCTGTGTATTTTTCCCATTTAAAAATATACAGAAGACCTGCTTAAAGATTCCCGCACCTTTATGCTATTCAGCTTTAGGCTCGGATGGAATAAAATTCGGCATTTTTATGAAAATCGCTGAATCATCATTAAGCTGTCCAAGTCTATCTTCAGATTTGGAATGAATATAGACTGTAAATTTAATCCAATGTCTTAATCAAATTCTCAATACTTTACACAATGTTGAATTTTCCCCATTTTCTGTATTCTAAATCAGTATTTTATATATCTTAACCTGTAATTAACTTCTGTACTAGCTGAAAAAATTATTTACATTAAAATATTTTTCACAGTAAATAAATTTAAACATAGCAGCTTAATGTAAATAAATTTTTTAATCCTTATACAAAAAATTTAAGATAGCATAAAATTTAATGCAAGCTCTAGCAAAAATTCCATATATCAGAATGTAAAAAGCGGTCAAGTAAATAAATAAAAGACTATATTGCCAATTTACTATTCAAATCAGTATTTATTATTACATCACTATGAAGTTAAAAATTAAAATCTCAACAAATTTACACAGTTTAGATATTCTGAATATGCTCTTTTAAAGATTTTAATTCTTTGTTGAGAGAAAGAGTTCAAAATTTTATTTCTGCTTTCATCAAGAAAGAAGAAACAAAAACACAGAAGGAAATTTCGAACCTTATTCTAAAGTGATAATCTCTAAAAATCAGTTCATAATACAACAGTGAATTTTCCTCACAACTGTTCTACATGCCACTCATTATGAGAGGATTTTTGAACAAAAAATTTTAATTTTAAAATATTACAAAAATTACCTAAGATTGACAAACTACTGAAAGGCACGGTTTTGATGACTTTGCTGACATTAAAGCAAAAATAAATAAACAAACAGCATTTTTAAACACTGTAACTAAAATGTATTTTAATTTATTTCCTTTTATATCACTTTGACATTTTAACAGCAATTTTGGTGTATAGTGAGAATGGAAACAAACTCAGACATGGTAGGTGAACGAAAGCTCCAGCTATGCCACTGATTTTACCATAGTAGTAGGTTTCCCATTTCAGGCCTAGTCTTTCAGATATTCATATTTTCATGTTACATTACATGATAGTATGTTACCCTACCAGCACAGCCCCCTCTCCTTTAACCTACTGTGAGGTTTTATAAATCGACAACTAAGCTATTGCTATTCTTTGCTAATGGGTAATGCAAAATGGTCAAACTTGAAAGTTTCATCCCCAAAACACTCCTAATTTTTTTTGAAGCCACTGACTGCCTTTTCGGTTCCAAATATTAAAATTCTATTGCTGGGAACATGTTCAAGTAAAACAAAAATTTCAGAACATTTCTGTAGAAATAATCACTTTGTTTACATTTGCTCCTAATGAATAACTTTGAACGGCTTTATGGTGATTTTTGTACATAAATGATTTTGTTGGTTAAAAAATCTAGCTCATAAGCTGCCTAATCTAAACCTTTATGAGCTAAAGCTTCTTTGTATGTCATTGGAATGGTGGTTATTTCTTACAGGCATCTTTTAAAATAATTATTTTATATCACCCTTGTATATATGCATGGTGTTTGTGATTAATAACCTTTCCATTTAAACTTATTAGAACATTTCCATTATAACAACTTAGTAGACTGGAAAACTGAATGCTTATTTTCATTTTTATAGACATTCTTCAATCTAAGGGAGCATTCACATAATGGTTTAACATCTCATAATCCTAAGGTCTAAACACGATTAGCTGGGTTCACATCTGTAGAACAGTGCTTAAGCCATAGCCAAATTACGGAAAGTAAAGATGCGAACAGGGTTGCTGCAATCACAGCTGTCGTACCGGGAAGCAAAACTCTCAGAATTCAAAGAGAAAACTGGATGGTGAGAAGCCCAACGCGGTTCTCGTTGAGTCTGCATGGATGTGTAGCTCATTCAGTGAAATCAACCAATGAATGTCACTTCATATATGCTGTGATTGGCCAATTCTCTTACAAGGTTGGCATAAAGTTCCACAGTTAGAACATTTAGACAAAATCTTTACACCAGTTTTTGTGACACAGCAAGGTCTAGTTGCCCAGCAATGAACTTCGGTTTATGTCACTTGTGCTCCGCAAAGCTCTCGTGTAAACCTTCATAAAAAGACCTGATACCATAAACTGAAGAACTTTAATGTACTCCGTCTTTTTTCCCAAAGAAAGACAACACCTAACTATCATAGTGCAACAAGACAGCTAGCAAAAAAAAAAAAAAAAAAAAAAAATAATTATCAACTGAGTATAAATGAAACAATAGGGGCGATCTGAATGTAAGTGATAAAGGTTTGTGATTAGCTGCTACCTAAACTCTATCAGCAAACTTTTCTTAAAATTGTTCAGAGTAAATTTTCTCTCAAACTGCATTTTTTTTTTTTATCTTTCCTTTTTTTTTTTTTTTCAAATTACGACAAATGTAGAAAATAACATCACAGCTAGTTAGTTTATTTGGAAAATCCAGACTTGGCATATTGTTTATGTTACATATTTTATTTTCTAAAAGCAGAGATAAATAAATATACATAGTTTTTTATGGTTTTTAGTAGGCAAGAGAAATCTGACACACATAATTAAAAAAATACCAACATTGGCATTGCCACATTAATTATTTTATTGCTTGACAAGAAATTTAGAAAGATATAATTTACATTCCACTATTAATAAAACAAATTAAATTAATATAGAAAAAAATCAGAATATCTTTGATTACTGTTTTAAAAAATCATATGGGTGATTTCATATTCGCTCAAAAAATATATTTCATCAAAAGACTCGTAAAACTGGGGGGGGGGAAAACTCAGTTTAATTAAATAGCTAGAAATATGACTCTGTAAATTGAGTTTAAAATTTGAAAAAATGAGCTGTGCATCATTTGCACATGGAAGACAAAAGGAATTTATTGTGGTTTTACATAATGAAGAGCTTAATAAAATTCAAGCTGACATACAATCATCTACATATAGCAGCACCTTTATGGGTATTATTTTTATATTTAATAAGCAAATGCATCTTATATTAGAGACAAAAAACTAATTATTAATGAATTACTTATCTGGCTTACTGAATTATCAATGGAACTGGCAAAGATTTGTTGTTTAATTGATTATAACCATCATAAGATAAAATACTGCACAGATGGCATAGTGGATGGTGATGCTAATTACTGTACTGCTAATTACTCGGGTTTAAATTCCGGAGAAGGCATGTATGTGTTTCAAGTGCAGCAGTGATTGCACAAGGCACTCAAAATAGATGGCAAGCCAAAATTCTCTCAAGAGATTGGTGGTAGGAAAAGATGGACATCTCCCACGAAATTCCAATGGAGGGAGTAGTTTAGAAGTTATTAACAGCCAGTGATACTTAATATGTTTACTTGGATGCACAGGCTTTGTCTTTGCCACTGAATGGTTTGTTGGCACTCTAATCATGCTTATTTCCAGAACCTTTTTATTTTTGATACTGTTGCGATAGGAAGAGAGCACAGCGAAATTACGTCCAAGCAGTACAGAGAAAGAAGTTAAAGTACACATTATCCAATATGGCAGTTCACTAAAGAGGAAGGTTTTTATTTACGTAGAAAGGCTGCATTTTTCAAAATTCTGAGTGCAAGTTCCCAATTAGCTACATCATCAGCATTATGCAAGCCATACGACATAGATTAATTAAGAAATGGCACAGTCTAGAAACACTATTTTTTTTAGACTAAACAGGAAATAACCAAATTAAAAAAGAGGTATTAAAAGGCTATTACCAAATTAAATTATAAAGCTGATTTACATATTTTTTATCTTACATATCCTGCTCTAAATGTGAATTTAATCAGGATTGACTTTTTCCTTTTCAATATGAATCGACAAGCATCAAGCATCTATGCAAAACAACATTGCTATGCTTCCTACGCCTCAGTGTTCCTATATCAGTACTTCTAAAACTTTGCCTTCATTGCATATATATATTCACACATATATTAACAATTAAAATTAATCAAATTAATTGAAATGTTGCTTTTAATCCAGTATTACAACAATACTTCTAATTGTGCAAGTAAACATTTTTACAGACACAGAAGGGCACTCTCTCTCTCACTAAAAGAAAAATTCAACACATATACAATTTTCTGCAGCTGTTGAAAGACTTAATGATTTTCTGCATATTTACATGCAAGAGAGACATTCTTTATAATTTTGTACACCTCAGGGAAAATTAAGAGGCCAATATTTCTTATGCCCTTATCTTGCCAAACTAATTCAAGGTTGAAATATAATAAAAAATACACAGATCATTAATTGAAAAATATTTAATCACTAATTTAATGCTGCACAAATTGCTGCAATATATATAAATAATCAAATGAATGAAATGGGGATACTCCTATCAAATATCAAAAATGCCAGTAAAGCTAAGAAATACAATTTTGAAGTCAGCATTAATTCCAGCCAAGTCAAAACAAGAAAATAATTAAAGTAAGAATTAAAAACCGAAAGGTAAAATAAAAATTAGAAAAGAATTTTTAAATATTGACAAAGAAAAATACTGCAAAAGAAACTGAAAGATGGATTAAAGAAATATTGTCTTTCCAGTACTAACTAATAGTTGTGGACATGCAAATTCAATTGAGATGAAAAATTGAAATGCCAATTAAATGAAAACTCATCAGTTATCATATTATTTCTACATACGACTTCCATCTATTATTGCATGTACTATATAAATTAAGATTTATATTGAGAGTTTTAAATGGATGTGTGTGTTAAAACTGATACTAAAATTTACACATTCAACTAAAGCATAACATTACTGAGGTTCAAGAAAAATCTATGAATTAATATAAACAACAGGATTTTGTAAAACTGGATTTTTAATTTGCATAGTACAATATGAACAACATATAAAAAGAAGCAGGAATATCAATAACAATATTAGAATTGCAAAAGTAAATGCAATTTGAAATTACAATAACAATGATTACAAAGAGAAATAACATAAATACAACACACATGCACACAAAAAAATAAAGAATAATGATAATGATAATCATTACAACCACATTTTAACAACAAAACAAACAAACACCCCTAATATCTGGAAGATCGAAATCTGGAATTTTATTTAACTTGGAACCAGTAATAAACAAAAGGAATGATTGGCCTTTCTAACAAGCTAAATTTGAATTGCTCTGAAATGTTCAAGTATATCATCTGTAAGACACTCTTGAAGCACTTCAGGTTTCGTAGGCCACATTTTTTTCAATCTATTTACAACAGCTTTTAAAGATGCTACTTTCTTTTTAGCAGCTTTTGCTTTGGAACAGTAGTGATGCTTGGAAGGTTTTTTGTAATGGAATCCTTCTTCTGGAATAGTTGTCATTTTTCTATAAAAATTTGGACAAAGATGGTCCACAGCTAAGTCTAATCTTTCTTCAACAAATTCGATTGTGTAAACACGAATAGGTGAAGAGCTGCAGACATGACAGGCATTTTTTCTCTTTAATTTACACAACGATTTTCTTCTTAACTAGAACATACATAAAAATTTTTACACAGAGAAATATATTTAGAAACATCATGCAAATTAAAATAAAGTGTCAATAATATTTTTTTCTCACCTTAAGCTAATAAGATGATATACATTGATTAGCAAAATGCAAATAAAACAAAATAAGACTTCCTGAGATATTCTTACCATTATTAACTATTCAAAATTATGATTTTTATAATAATGGGAACAAAAATTAAAGTTCAACAAACTTAGTTTCATTAAAATCTAATGATACACTCTTCAACAACTCTACAACATTTTCTCCAATTATCAGGTTTAATTAAGGCAAAATCCATTTCTTTAAACATTGTCTATACTTTCTGAATCCACACCTATAGAAGACTTCTATTTCTAATTCTGAAGCTTTAAGGTAATTCACATAAAATTCTTGAAAAGAATAATGATTATTTCAGCAGTATTTTTATCAAAAAAATAATTTTATAGCACTATTTTAATATATGGATTTGCAAATAAATATGTATGTCATACCCATGTGCATTTTTTTTTTTTTTTTTTGTATATTTCTCACCCATTCTTCATAAAAGGACGAAACTTGGTGTAGCTGAGTTCAAGGTCACATACTTAAATGGTGGAAATTCCTGAGGTGACAGGTGCAACGGTTTTTTAGGAACACCATTGTTCGGGTATGTCATACCCGCGCGTGTACTCGTGTTTCTCAGTGAGTCACTCTTGAAATGAGTATGACATACCCGGCGCATGTTCTCGTGTTCGTCGGATCGGTGTGTGTGCTCGCGGGTTAAATGAATTTTAGTCTAGTACATCAGTTTTTAGATTGTTGAAGTACTAAATAAAAATATGGCAACACATTATGATTCTCTTCTTAGAATTAAGGGTACTATTCAGTTTCGAGTGCCGTAAAAAAAATTGCAGCGAAACGTATGCGGGAAAGCGCCAAATCTAGCAAACACGTCCATTTAACAGCGTGCCAAATCTCGCGTACGCGCTGATTTCAGATTGCGTAAGTTTATATAGTTCTATATTTCTTAAGACTTCTCGTTTTCAAGCTTTTACTATAGGTTTTTCTTGAGTTGTAAGCATGGCGCCGTATATTCCTTACGATGAAGAGATGGAAAGATTGAGAAATCTTCTTGAAACCGTTTCTTCTGATGAGGATTCATTTAGTGAAGATGTTGATTACGAAGAATATAATAGTAATCATGATTCATCTATAGAGAGTAGTGATTCAGATACAGAAACAGAAAATGAAACTTTGGAATGTAGCAATGAGTTTTATGTTGGAAAAAATGGAGTAAAATGGAACAAAAATAAATTCCGGACTAATGTTATAATTGGCACCAAAAATATTATAACTAAACTCCCTGGAAATATGAAGTATTCTAAAGACGTCTCAACACCTTTAGATTTCTGGTCACTGCTTATCGATGAAGATATGTTAAAACATGTAGTCGACAATACAAATATTTATATTGATTCAGTACGTGGAAATTTCACTTGTGAAACTCTTGCGAACACTTGCGAAACAACAAATGAGTTGGAAATCAAAGCTTTAATTGGATTGCTGTATTTATGTGGAGTTTATAAATCATCCCATGTGAACGTAAGAGAAATCTCTTATTTGTGGGCAACCTGACGGAACGGGAAATGGACATATGTTCAGGGAAACAATGTCAGTGACCCGATTCCTCTTTCTTTAACGATGTCCTCCTGTTTTGATGACATTAGAGATCGTCCCAGTAGAAGAGACGTTGGATAAATTAGCTCCGATCAGAGATAATTTTTTGGAAAATTTTGTCACAAATTGCCAAAAAGGCTTATACTGTAGGAAGAGTATGTGACCATTGATGAGAAGTTGGAATCCATTCAGAGGTCGTTGTTCCTCTCAAACAATATATGCCCAACAAGCCAGCAAAATATGGCATAAAAATATTTGCTCTTGTAGACGCAATGGTATTTTATACCTGGAATATGAAAATTTATCCTGCCGTAAACAACCAGATGGGCCATTTCAAGTTGAAAATGGTGTAAGCAAGCGTGAAGTTGTCAAACGTTTAATAAGGCCCTTATACAAGTTCTGGTCGAAATTTAACAGTTGATAATTGGTATATGGCATATGAATTATCTCAAGATCTCCTAAAGAAGAAAATTATTACGAATAGTAGGTACTATGTGCGCATAAAATAAGAGAGAAATCCCACCTGAGTTTCTGGCAAAGAAAAGAGAGGTATATTCTTCAATTTTCGGTTTTCAGAAAGAAGCAACACTTGTATCTTATGTGCCTGAAAAAAAAATAAGAGTTGTGATTCCTGTTATCCACAATGCATTCCGGCGATCAAATCGATGAATCTACTGGGGAATCTAAAAAGCCTGAAATCAGTTACATTCTATAACATGACAAAAAGGAGCAGTCGATGTTGTAGATGAGATGGCAGCTGCGTATTCTACAGCAAGAGTAGCACGTCGATGGCCTATGGTGATTTTCTTTTCAGTGTTAAACGTAGCTGCCATTAATGCAAGAATAATTCTACTATCAAAGAAGGAACTACCAACGGAATACCGTACCAGGCGTACTTTTCTCAAAGCCTTAGGGATGCAGCTAATAGAAAGTGTTCAAAATGAACGACGATGAGCATCTGTAATTCCTGATTCTAGACAAACACTGACCATCGATGAACATGTTAACAATGAACCACCCTCCCAAAAACCTAAAATTACTTACAAGAGGTGTACAGAGTGCCCCAAGAAAAAAAGATAGAAAGACCAGATTCATTTGTGAAAATTGTAGCAAAAGTATATGTATGAAACATATGATCTCATTTTGTAAACAATGTTCAAAAAATTGTAAGTAAATAATTTTACCTCTCCTTATTCTTTCATATTTTGTCTAAAATGAAGTATTAACTTGGTTTTACATTTTAATTTCTTTTAAAAACTGATTAATTTTATTCGGCAAATTTTTAATTACAAACTTTTTATTCGGGTATGACATACCCGGCGCGTGTTCTCGTGTTCATCGGATTGGTGCGTGTGCTCGCGGATTAAATGAATTTTAGTCTAGTACATCAGTTTTTAGATTGTTGAAGTACTAAATAAAAATATGCCAACACATTATGATTCTCTTCTTAGAATTAAGGGTACTATTCGGTTTCGAGTGCCGTAAAAAAAATTGCAGCGAAAACGTATGCGGGAAAGCGCCAAATCTAGCAAACACGTCCATTTAACAGCGTGCCAAATTTCGCGTACGCGCTGATTTCAGATTGCGTAAGTTTATATAGTTCTATATTTCTTAAGACGCCATTGAAATACCAGTTTAATTTTAAAATCCTTTTTTGATTTTGAATTCTTTTTTGATATCCTTATGGATTTAACAATTTGGGAATTTCCTATGATGAAAAGTCTGCGATAGAATTTTGGGTAAAGTGCAGAATCACCCACTGCTTGACGCGTTTTTAAGAATTACACATACTCGGTATTCATGTACACATCGACTTATTTTCACTTAAAAAAAAAATCCCAGAATTGCACAAAAATGGCACTGCGCACACCCTTGACTTTATCTATGTACACATCGACCTATTGTCACTTAAAAAGTAAAAGAAAAATGACCAAATTGCAATTGTTTTTACCCTTGTAAAAAGCGGCAAAGAAATAAGCGGGCGATTCTGTACTTTACCAAAAATGTTTTCAAAGAAAGGAATCACCCCCCCCCCCCCCCCCCCCCCCCCCCCCCCCCCCCCCCCCCCCCCCCCCCCCCCCCCCCCCCCCCCCCCCCCCCCCCCCCCCCCCCCCCCCCCCCCCCCCCCCCCCCCCCCCCCCCCCCCCCCCCCCCTCACTCATTATAGAAAATTATGTTTGAACAACCAACGAGATGACATTATGCTTTAGCGATAACTCGGTAGCGAAATATTATATGAAATTAAACTTTCACCTAAATTAAAACATGAATATTTAGATAGTTGTTTACTATTATACTTTTTTCTTACATTAGGGTTGCCGCAATTACTTTTGGCAGCACTGGCATCAACAATAGTTTGGCAATTTTTTACGGCCCTTGAAACCGAATAGTACCGAATTAAGTTTAGGCTTCAGTGCAAGATGTAAACATTTCAAAACTTAAAACAGAACTGAATTTTCAGAATAATACATATTACCTGACTACATAATTAAATATCTATAAATTCAACTTTCAATAATTATTTAGTATCTGTTCTTGAATTTTAACATAAAATAGATAACCTTTACAAAGGTTTTCAATGAATAATTTAAAGATAAATTTTATGTGCTTAAGTTTCACGTAATTTTGGACCCTTCAATCTTGCTCATGTGATTTTCTTTAGAACACTTTAAAATAACAAATAATAGCCTGTGTTGTTTTGTGTTTCCATTCATTCATTCTTTAAATAAGAACACAGTCAGTTCAAAAGTAAAATAATTTTATTAAATAGTACTATCGATTCTGATTAATTTAAAATTCTGTGGATTGGCACAGCTTAATGTAGACTTTGTAATATCAAATGTATGTCACACAGTCAATTTTAATATGTGAAAAGAAAAGAGAAAAATAAAAGAAATGAAAAACAACTTAAGCAACTATCATTTAATCTCATTGATTTTAGATATTTTCACCAGTTCCTTTACTTTTAATAAATATTGCATTTCTTTGTTTAGTGCAGATTACATAAAAATGAATCAGCAGCATTTATGCGGCTGGCTTTTCTGTTAGCATAAATAAGCTTAAGTACAAACCTATTGCAATTCCAAACATTAGACATTATGTGTGAAATTTAAATTATCATATTAAAATACTTAGGGGAGTGGGGAGGCAATAGAATTTTCTCGCTTGGTGATTCGCTTTCGCATTTTATTCCAGGAATAGTGAATAAATTTAGCATTGTGAAAACAATTGCCTATTACTGCATTTTATTGATGTTGTAGATAGCATTTATTTTTATTGATGCTATAGATTGTATTTTAGTGATGTTGATGATAGCCCATGA